GAGCACAGACATAATGCAGTACCTCAGGTCACATTAACTGAAGGAGTCCGTCATTTTGACAGATTAGAGCACAGAGGGTGATCTACACTAACTTCAAGGTAAGCTACGAAAATGGCCAATAACTGCTATGGCACTGATACACGAGGTGAAGCAAGAGGAACTGATGTGATGGATGAAGAACAACTGAGTAGTCAGTGCATCTTGCTATCCAGGAGCTGACAGCCATCTGAAGCGCCATGGACCGGACACCATGGGGCACATCTCTGGCCACTATGGATCACAGAGGGCTGCAGCTTCAATTCAGTTAGCGCGCCCTCCTGTAAATGGCTTGCTCATATTTTAACCTGACCTTGAAAACCTTAACAGAATTTAGCAAACGCTGCTGTACAATTTAACATTAACACCAAGTAAAATTCTATGGGCTGCTGAAACCACAGTGTATAGTACCAGATTGACTATGTCCATGTTTCTTTGAGGCTTTTAAACCAGGTGGACATAAGACAAACCACACTTGAACACGCAGCCACACGCCAAGTAAAACAAAGGCAGTATCTGCTGCATTCGCCTGTAATATAAATTGTGGCTGTAGTTGTTTTGAAGGGCATCGGGACCTTATCTAAGTCTAAATGTCAGCCCTCCTAACAGTCTTCAGTGGTAATCTCACTGTGTGCAACTTCACGAATCAACACTGACAAGAGGCAGTAAACAACTGTTGTAGCCTTGACCAATACCTATCTTATTTGAGCTGGCATTCAGATAAGAGTGAACCTTAATCTGCCAACCAATACGCCTGGAGCTCTCTAATATTTAATTTACAAAGCTGCATCACGCTACGCAACATGATACAGGCTCAACATCATGACAGCTGGTATCACAAAAAGGACAGCAGATGGTGTTTTCATTAAAAAATTCAAACCGGTAGAAGACTTTGTTTGGGAATCTCCAGTGCACTTATCATATTACAATAAGGAAATACACACAGGCCAATGTCAAAAAGGCTTGCTGAGGTGCAGGAGCTAGCCAGTGTGTTTTGTAAAGGCTACAGTGTTCCAGTTACGCAGTCGTGAGACATGATTCCTCACTGGAGACAGAGAGCAGGTCCACAGTGCACCGGGAGTGATGCTAACCAATAATCCACGCAGTGCTATGCATGCACTGTGGAGTGAAGGACAAACGGCCAACAGCTGGAGCAAACACCTGCCTGATGCATGATGTCCAAGTTAGCTACATTACACTTCATTTGCAATATGTTTTCCCATTTTATGCGTTGAACTATAAAGCTTTTGTTTTATTTAATAAGCTCTCACATACTATACATAATGCTGTATAGTATATGTCTGTGCAGATTCTCAGTCATAGTAAACTGAAAAAACTTGGAAAAAAATCAACTGGACTAGATTTCTAGTTTTTTTTTGTATAGTATATGCAAATGTTTTAATTTAATGGCCATAACAAGTTCAGTCATAACTCTTTGATTCTTTTTAATAAGGTGACATTAAATCAGTTACAATGAGGTTTTGATGCTGCTTGAAAAGGTAGTGCAGCAAGATTTTCAGCACTATTAATGAGAAGCTAAATACGCCTATGGGGGAGTAGATTGCATTTTGTACTTTTTATAGCCGACACTTTGCTCTAATGCACCTACTTGGCAGTCACTGTTAACTACAGTGTCCTTTGATTGGAGTTTGGAGAAAAAAACAACCATTATTTTGTGAGCTGTATACTACTTGAATGTGGTTCATTACAAGTGCAAATTTCTTTGATGGTTACTGTGAGCAGATAAGGGTTTGGAAAGCTATACTATTTAAGGCCAAGCCATGCTAAGCATAATCTAAATGACAGTATAAATTAAAATGATGCAATGTGATATTGGCATGACAAAGCATTGCAATGTAACTTTTAAAGGAGAGTTTCAATTTTATATAGCCGGTGTTTTGACATGTATTTCAGCAAGTCCTTCTGCGCTAGTCTACTTTTCTAAACCTCATGGATACAATAAACACAGTGCTTTTAATAAGACTTGTACATTTGCTGTATTTATAGGTGAAGTTTTTGTAATACAGAACTACATAGTGGATGATTATTATATGCATTATTATTAGCTCTAGAGCATAGTTTTCATTCAAATTGGTTATTACGATTCAAAATGCCTCATACTGATTGTTTCTCAGGCCAGAACAGTTACATGCACTGGATAATTCATATCTGATGCTCTGACACAGTGAATTAACTGTTACCCTCTTGTGCTTTTCTAACATTAAAGATATTTTTTATAAGAACAATATATCAAATGACAGTGTGCACAGTGGTGAACCGACAGAATCGGTAGGTAGGTAGGTAGGTACTTTATTGATCCCTCAATGGGGAAATGTCAGTGTTTCAGCAGCAATAGAGAACAAACAACATAACACCATGAGAAACAAACACCACACACACATCCTGATAAACAAATTCCAGTACCTCAAGCAGCAACAGAGAACAGACAGCATGACACCATGAGAACAAGCACCGCACACACATCCTGATAAATAAATTCCAAGTACTCAGAATCAAGTATTTGAATAATCAAGGACAGAATTTACATATGTGCATGTTAACCATGCATTTTACCCCAGGATTTGAGTATTGCGCCTCAGTTGACTATTACATAGTCCCTCATACTTTCACCTAGCTTATCCCTGCACTGATGTATTGTACAGTCTGATAGCTGTGAGGAGGAACGACCTACGGTAACGCTCCTTGTTACACTGGGTATGTAACAGTCTCGTACTAAAAGAACTGTTCAGAGCCTCTACTGTGTGGTGCAGGGGATGGGAGGGGTCGTGCATGATGGATGTTAGTTTTACCACACCAAAGGACCTCAGTCTCCTCAACAAGTGGCGGTGGCTCTGGCCCTTCTTGTACAGGGCATCAGTGTTTTCAGTCCAATCCATTTTGTTGTTGAGGTGGACCCCCAGGTATTTAGAGATGTCAGAGACTGTCCACAATCTCAATGACTGAGCCCTGAAAGTTCACCGGAGTGAGTGGTGGTGATTTCCGCCGGGGATCAATCATCATCTCTTTAGTCTTACTGGTGTTCAGGACCAGGTGATTTTCCTCACACCACTTCACAAAGTCAGTGACAACCACCTTCTATTCCCACTCATCCCCCCCCCGATACACATCCAACAATGGCGGGGTCATCAGAGAACTTTTGTAGATGACACTGGTGGGAGTTGTACTTGAAGTCCGATATGTAGAGGGTGAACAGAAAGGGGGAAAGCACTGTCCCCTGGGGTGCTCCCATGCTGCAGATTACCACATCCGACACACAGTCCTGCAGCCTTACGAACTGAGGTCTGTTTGTGAGGTAGTTAATGGTCCATGCGGACAGGTGTTGGTCCACACATGCCAGCTTCCCCCTCAGCAGTGATGGCTGGATTGTGTTGAAAGCACTAGAGAAGTCAAAGAACATGACCCTCACAATACTTCCGGGGACTCCAGATGAGATAGGGCTCAATGCAGCATGTAGATAATATCATCATCTACCCCGATGCCAGGTCGATATGCAAACTCGGGTCGAGCGCCGAGCTCACCTGAGCATGGAGGTGGCCGAGGACAATCCTTTCTATGGTCTTCATCAGGTGTGAGGTCAGGACAACGGGTCTGTAATGGTTCGGCTCCTTAGGATGAGGTATTTTGGGAACCGGGACAACACAGGATGTCTTCCATAGGGCTAGGACTCTCTCCAGACTCAGTTGGACATGTACAGGACCACCTCACTGAGCTGGTCTGCACACTCCCTGAGGACCCTGGGGCTGATGTGGTCAGGGCCTGTGGCCTTCCTGGCCATAATCCTCTTTAACTCCTTCCTGACCTCATCTGCTGTGAGGCGGAGGGGGCTGGTGGGCGGTGACTGCTCAGGAGCTGTGGGATGTTGAGAAACCCCCATGACAGTGGGAGGAGGAGCAAGGTCTAGCAGAGGTGTGAGTAGCTGCAGCTGCAGGGAGACAACTGACCTGGAGAGGTGAGACAGGGGGGCTGGCAGGGTGGGGGCTGAGGATTGGGTAGAGTCAAATCTATTAAAAAACACATTCAGTTCATTTGCCCAGGCCTTGTCCCCCATGACCTGGTGACCATCTCCACTTTTACCATGAATCAGCTGAATCTGCAGCAGTCCTCAACTATAGTGAGTTCAGCTCACTGCCTAATGGTTCTGGTTCACTCTCACCGCTCTCATAGAATAGCTTTCAACAGCACCAGGAAGCTGTATTCACAGACAAGCCTCTAAAAACCCACTGCACACTGCTCATTATCAAACAGCAGACAGACACAGTCAGAGACTAGCTAGTGGAGCACTTAGCAGCAAAAGAGCCAGACATTTCGCTCAGGAGTTGGCAAAGCCCCAAAACAGAGTTAAAAAACAGTCAATACTGGAGGCACATTCGCCAGGTGGACACAAACACGACTCCAAATCAATGACACTGTAGCTCTGTAACTGCTGGATGTATAAATAAGCCACTGCCTGCTAATACTAACACCATATCAATTTAAAAATCAGTTATTGTAGGTTTAAGTGTGGTGCCTGTATCATGACACCATTGTGCGGGCTGTCAAATTAACATTATCACAAAAACCGAGTAAAGAGACAGAGAGCCAGTTTAACACATCATGACTATGCCGGGAAAGTAACCAAGTTTATACTCCCGTAACGACTTTTATAAATTATACTTTATTAATCCACATGGGGAAATTTCTTACTGATGGCAGCGCTGTCTGGCTTAAAGGGGTGCAGTGTCTTGCCCAGGGACACTTCAACATGTGGACTGGGAATTGAACCACTAATCTTCCGATTTGGAGACAGCCACAGCCGCCCCACTTAACTGGCTTGCAACCGCTACAGATGATGTCTGTGAATGTGTGTGCTCCCTGGCCACAGCCAGGGGGTTAAGCAGAGAGGGACTCTGTACACTGGCATTCTGCAGCACTCTGTGTGGAATTCAGCGACATGAAGGTCTTACCAGAGGAAGTGGGGAAGTCTGATTCCAGGCAGCAGTGAGTAGCTCCTGAGCTCCCTGAGAGAAACACCTACAAAAAACACACACATAAACCATGTCAACCTGGTAAGACTAACAAGCAACCAAGATAAAAATCAGAGTCCAGTCAGGTCTGAAAACCAGTAGGTCATCAGAATGGAAGCATTCGCACACATGCTGCCGTCACATTAAAAATTTACCTGAGGCTCTGGGTGGGTTTTAAAGTTTAAAAGATTCACGTTGGTGATGGCAAAGACATGAAAAACACCTACAATCCAGGTCTGAAGCTTCGAGGACATTTAGAAAATATAAGTACATCACACTAACGCAGCATCAGTTTTACCACCTGTGTGGCAAGATGTTGATAGAGCACTGCATCCACCCAAGACGACCTACATGCAACATTACCCTTATCAAAGCAACCCCCACAGCGACTGTAGGATACACTTAATCTCTGATGTGGTTACAACCACAACCCCCCCCCCCAACCCCCCCCATGCCGTAGTAAGGGCAGAAAAATCCCTGTCTGAATTTCTTTTCCCTTTTGGAACCAGTGGTCCTCAGATGAGTCAATATACTGTATCTTTATGTGCACGTCAGCCCCTCAAGTGAAGAACGGCATTTTGAGAGGAAAACGGTCATAAATAATACAACAACAGCGACAAAACAACATGTGTGGGAAAGCAGAAACGAAGGCTCCCGTTTGACTCCAAGTCTGATTTGGCCCAAAAATCATCATATGAGGTTCACGGTGAGCTCTCAAGGGAAGGAGGAGAAAAAACCAGGAGGTGGTATGATTATAATGAGAAAGTGATTTGTTCATGCCATTAATTCAGTGGCAGGACAGGACTGGTCATCTCCCTCCAACATACCGTAATCACTTGTAATCAGACTTAATGGGCACACTAATGGGAATGCTTTTCCTCCCTCCGTGCTCTGTACCGCTTTTTAACACACTTGTCCACACACACAAACAAGTGTGCACATGAATGCCTGTGTGCACATTTGCAACTCATCCGGGGAATGCAACGCTGCATTTTCATGTGAAAGGGAATAATTGTTTTAATAATACTGTCCATAACAGCACAACATAATTAAGCCCCACTTGTATATAATGATCATTTACATAGTTTGTTCATTCATATTCTTGTCAGGCCTCATTTACATACCTTCATTTATTTGCAGGAGCTGGTTACCGTACTCTGCTGAGTCTCAGCTGGTTAAACTTGATTATGTCATGTTACAATACAACTGAACATACAGTTGACACTGCTCATTAAAGATGTACTCGTACAGGGAGATTGCTTTTGTGCCCAGTTTCAGGAAAATAAGGCTCTATAATTAGTGATAAAACCACTCTGCACAGGAAAATTGAGTGTCAGCTGTGAATCATGCTTACACCAAACACTGTGGATAATATTTTTTGCCCTCTGATTACCTGCCCGCTCAGATCTGCCCAACTGTGTTTAAGCATTGCTGAGGTGTTCCCAGATCTCAGCAAATAACTCCACACATGCAATGTTATTATTGGAGATGACTATGTTCTAAGCTATGAAAATAAGAAACATATGTAAGGTCCATCTAGACAGAGAGGCTTAAAGCCCAGTGAAAGTTTTAATTGCAGCTAGCCTGGTCAGCTTGAGTCACAAAAACAATGAATGATGCTGATTAATACCATCTGCTCAAAAAATGTATTAATATTTTATTACACAGAAATGATAAATCTATGACCCTGCATCCAGTCAGGTAACAGTTCCTGGGTACCAGGAGTACCCTCCCTGTAGCAGAGTTAACAATCTATTTGGGGAATGTGTTTTTGCACTGTTTGCCTCCCATTGCTCCTAATGACTTCCCAACTCAGTGGGCAAGACTTCAACACAATGCAACGCAATGCATTATAAATAGTTATTGTTATTTTTGGTAACTACTTTTGCTAAGCACACACTAGCCTAAGACAATGACAGTGGAGTTGCAATATATGTAATATTGTCCACTTTCTTCAAACTTTATTAGTCTATAAAACACACAGTTGTTTCCAAACGCACACGATTCTGGCCTATAGTGCCACTGCCCAGTCAGAAAGGTGTGTATATACAGCATTTTGGTGAAAAAAAGACAAGGAGAAAGATAAAAAGAAAGAAAAAATAAGAAAGAAAGTGTACTTTTGTCTAAGAGAGAGACCGAGTTGTGAAAAAACTCCCACTGATACCCTTAGTTTCCATGGTGATGATTTATATTTGACAATGTGACGCACATTTTAAGCATTCACTTTTTCTATTAGTCATCTTCATCTTTTCCAGTGCAGTGAGCTAAAAGTTGAATGGTTTATACAAAAGAAAAGTGACATAAAAATGTTTTCAGGTCTGTGCCAGGCCTGGAGAGGATCAGGCAGTTAATGTATAAAGTATTTCAAAAAAGTTAATGCAACTGTCTTCTTAATCCACATTGAGAATGATAATTAGTTGTGGAGAGAGTCTGGAAACGACAAGTGTCCACAGGCTGGGCTTTAAGGGCTGGAAATGGTTTAGTAAAGGCTAGGTAGGGTGGAGCACATCCTCAATGTTTTCCTCCAGGGGTGTATTAAGTGGCCTGTGGGAAACTAAACACATCAAAGTTGTCCTTGTGTAAGTGAGTCCGATTAGAGGCCCCACTTTATGTTTTCAGTGTAATTACTACTTAGCCTCCAATTACTTCATAATTAACTCCAAGAAATTAGTACTCGGTCTGAAACAGGTGTATCGTCCTTGAGCCAGGCTTATTTTACACCCTGAGGGGATGAGTCAAAGTGAAGCTACACCTGAACAAAGGGGACATGTCGGGTCCTCACCGATCCATTTATTCAGTTTTTGGGAAGACCGAATAGCCTAGAATGAATATAATCCTTCCTATCTCCATGTCCCACATTTCCCTCCAACTAAATTTCTTCCTTTCTACATCTTCCCATCTCATCCATTGTCCCTTTTGAGCCTGGGAGACTGCCTTTGTACATCTACCTGCCTCTTCCTGCCTCCTAATCTCCTCATTAACCATCTTCCTTCTGTCAACTGCTGCTGCTTTGCTCCATGAAGGTTGTGATGTGCTTAGACCAAAACCACCACATCCATGCTGTACCTGCCCTACAATATGACTATGTTTAAGAGCTGCCTGATCCTGTGAAACTTATTCCTTTGGCTTCCACTTCCTCCCTGACACTGTTGGTGCTGCACTCTGCACCACTAAATCCTTGGATCCTGACAGGATCACCTCCAATCTAGCCATAGCACATCTAAACTCCTCTGTTAAACTGGTTTTAGGGAGCTCCAAAATCCCTTTTCTGTACAGGGCCACACTGCTGAGGCAGCCAGAGCTCCCAGTCACTTCCTAAAATATGTGCTAATCATTCTCTCCAGCTTTTCTAACTTAGAAATTGGCACCTCATACAGTGTAGGTGGCCATAACAATTGTGGCCAATAACCAAACTGTAGGCACCACCCTTTGAGTTTGCCTGGGAAGCTTGACACCTCTGTGCTCTTAGTCCTATCACCTGCCTGCTGTCTCAAGCCCTGAATCTGCTCTTTATCACCAAGAGCTGCATCATAGCACATACCTAAACTTTTGAGTGGCTTCTCTAACACTGTTGGAATAAGATCAACATCCACAAGCCAATTTCAACAGGAATTCCACCAGGGTTCCAGAAAAGTCACTTATGATGCAATATAGAATATCATAATGAAAATAAAGAGCCTCATGATGCAATTTATTCACTGGGCTAACAGACTAGCAGGAGCTAACTTTGCAGAAAAGGTACTTTGCACTGATCACTAAAAGCATAACTCTACCAATCCAATTCAATGCCTTTGAATTTTTAAGTCTAACTAGGGGTGTGACGATACGCTCGGCTCATAAGGTGAGATGAGACACAATACTGGGTTCACAAAATAATGGGACTGTAAAACAAGCAAAAGAAAACTGACTGAATCAGACATTAGTATAGCAAATATGGTATTTATGCCAGCCTATATAATGTAAATAATCACAAAGGAAACAATATTTTCCTCATGGATTATATCAGCTCACATTAATTAGTAGTCACAGCAAACAACCGCAGTGATTAAAGTACCTAAGGGGAACAAAACTGACTTAAATCTCCTTCTCCAGCTTCCTCTGATATGGGGTTGTACATATATATTTAAAGAAATGTATAAAGTAATTCAAAAAAGTTAATGCAACTGTCTTCTTAATCCACATTGAGAATGATAATTAGTTGCAACCAATGCAGAGAACATTCTGGGTTATTTTACTTGTATGGCTAGACAGTGTGAGGATGAGTTTGATTTTTACTATGTGAGTGAGGACATTTGGGGAAAGTGAGAATATTTTGCCTGGTCACTGGACTGTTGCAGATTTTAAAAAATGGTAAAAATATCCTAATTTTAATGCGTTTTTTGCTCTACTTATGCAATGCGTACACACACCTCTCTTTCAGGCGGACAGTTGCTGCTTTCGCCTGCATTAACAAGTGTGGATCACATCAGGACTGTGCACTGGCTAAAGACCGTTTGTAGCAATACCAAGTTTTCCCCCTTTTTCTCATGGACACTATTTCAGGTCCAGGATGGAAAAAGGGGCAAAAACAGAGTGGAAGAAAAAAAAAAAAGCTCTTTTCAAATTGATGACAGCAGTAGCACTGAGGGAAACCACTGAAAGCAGTAGCGTCTGCCTGTCCACCCCCTCCTCTCTTTCAACAGCAAAAGTGTACGCCCATCCTGAACAGACAGCGCTCCAGATTGCTGCAGTGCATGCTGGGTAGGAGAGGACAACTCAGGACACATGCAGGGCCTTTAAGGATACTGCAGTAAGCTGTTCACAATGAACAAAGAATGAAGAAAAGATGTTGTGTGAAGGATGGTGGAATTCAACTAACATTTCATGCTGGAAAATCTAAAAAGCTTTTCTCTTTTTGTCTACATCAGTACACTGACAGGAAAATGCTATTTTGTAACAATGTAGGACTGATGTACTAGGTTGTTTTTTTCATGTTACTAAGGGTTTTTAGTATGTTAATTTTTTTGT